TACCTTCTCCTGCTGGATCTTGGTCTCAGTGTAGTAGTCGATGGGGCGGCGGGCATAGGGCAGGTCCTCGCTGGCGTTTTTGATATCGGTGCCCTCAAAAACCACGCTGGCGCTGCTGGTCAGAACGAGTCTCTGAAACACAGCCCTGTTCAGTTAGGCAGGAAAACTATGCCACACCGCCACTCAGATCCTTACTGCACTGGTAATGACCTCCAGTCTGCACACCTGACACCCCACGCACACAGACGACATTTGTAAACAGTGCCTTTTAAAATGCAACGATGCAAATTAAGCTTTTAAACAATGGTAATTCACATACAGGCTTAAATTAAAAGCCACATGATTATTTAACACGTAAACTCTGGACTGCGATGTCAGAAATCAGAAGAACGCCATCCCCACGCAGCAGAATTTGTGTTAGATTAAACAAAAATCATTTCCACAAAAGACTTTATTTTCTTTTTAAGAATAGTTCCAAATGAGAGGAGGTCTCTAAGCTAATCTACCCTCTCTCTTAAACACCTCACTCAGTCTCCCTGAGGTGGGCTGGGATCTTGCATCGCCCTTATTTGGGGATAAAATATCTGTGTGCCTCCCATCCTCACACGGTCCATTCTGCCCCCACAGAGAACGGTCATGACTCTGGTCCCAAAATTAACCCAAATCCAAAAAGCCACAATCAGTCCCTGGCTATTCCGGATCCGAAAAGCAACAGGGTTACTGCTACGTTCTGGTGATCTATCGGTTACCCACTGTGACTGCCAGACATCCAGACAATGCTAACCCTTTACCTGCACCCCGGCCTCCCTGCAGGCCTGCAGCACAGTGCGCGTGCCCTCCACATTAACACGATGGAACAGCGCCCGGTCATCGCTGGCGGGGGACGGAGAGGCGCAGTGGAACACCACACTCGCGCCCTGCAGGGCTGGCAGCAACGCCTGCGGCAGCAGAGACACTCACAGTAACACAACACGGAGCAAAACACACAGCGCCACCACCCCACGCCCACAACCGCTCACGCCTTCTCACTGGGACTGTGATCGGGTTCACGACTCCCGTTGCACAGCGGTAAAATCCTGCTCAGGTTTTACCAGGCGTGAGCTCTGGGATCCGAGCCGGTGCCTGAGTAATTGGTGCTTGTGGACAAAACCTGTCTTCCGGCAGCCAGTAAAACCAGAAACGGACTGCACCACTGTGCCGCGGGAGTCTCATCCCGCCCCCCCCCGCAAGTTGGCGCGGGCCGTGCGGAGCCTAACCTGGCGGTCACAGAGGTCGCCCACGTGGAAGGTGACCCCAGGGAGCTCGAAGCCCTGCAGGATGTCGAAGACGCTGACGATGTAACCCCGCTCCAGCAGCTTCTCCACTAGGTGGCGCCCCAGAAACCCAGAGCCCCCGATCACTGTGCAGCGCTTAC